TGCTAGCTTGCAAAAAACTTGGCAGCCGTAACATAGTTCCCATTTGATCCAGTTGGAAAACATAAGGTGCCACCTTCTTTGATGCAGCAAAGGACCAATTATTAAAAAGAGCCGTTGAATTTTCAGCATATATAATTTCTGCGTTGTTATCTGTTGGGAAACCATAGTTTCTACTGACAAATTGTTTGATGTTTGGGGTGACATTAGTTTCTGATTCTGTCATGTTTTGTCTTGCGAAACTTTCAAAAATAGAAGCCTTGATAGAAGATGGAATAGACAAGAAGCTTTGATCACTATCCATGTGGATTAGAGACCCGTTCTCCGCCCCATCGATGGACAGCTCCGCATTACTAAGCACTGGTATAGTTTGAGCCAGCAAATCCTATCGTAGCTGCTGATTTGACATTTTCACTGTTTCTCTGAAGAATAAGTCAAAATTTAAGTCAAAATTTAGGTAATGAAACAAAATTCCAATGGGGATAATTAATCTAAGGAGTTTAACTGCCCAGATGTTGGTAACAATAAAGAAATTGAACAAGATGGGCTAGATAACATTTTCGTTTTTCAGATTGTAATCAGCCCAGGAGTTCAAATTTGAAACAGTTAAGGCACGGAACTCCAGGAGGCCTCTGGCTCATCAGGAACAAAAAAAGAATCAATGACCATAAATTAGTTCCGACCATTACACTAGGTTATGCATGGGAAAAAATATCAGTTTGTCAATTGATTCATCCATACCAAGTTGATTGTTCTAGTTTGCTTCAGATAACAAGGTAGATTGAAGGAGACTAAGGTAGTAATGGATATGCCTAAGTTCCACATCAAAAATTATAGAATGCTTTATAGGGTATTTAAGCGACTTGGTTCTCCCACCTCAAATGCCAAGGCTTCATATTCATTACGGTTGAATCACAGTTGCCATCGTCTTCTTTATCATTTCTCTATCTATGACACGCATTTATGACATCCATTAAAGTCCATTCAAATCCCTTGTAGGCATCATGAATTCTTGATATGGTGCCAAATTGTGCTTTGATACCATTTGATGCATGGTAAAATATAACACTACTCTTTACTCAACTTATTCATATCCAATACGACTTTCTCATTCATTATTTATAAGCTACTGGGGATGCAAATCATCTAATACACTCCCCAATTACTCAGAGGAAGTAAGACTGACAAACCTGAGTAACTGGATGTCTGTCTGCAAGCTGAAAAGCAAGAAGCTCATGAAAAATACAACCATAGTAGTACTGACTAATCCGTGAAGTATTGCCCTCAAGTAGTTCAACAGTTTTGGATAAGGCACTGAAGAGAGACTCTTCTTCAGAAATGACAAAAGCTACTTCTAAATCTGGATAAACCTGCAATATGTTGTTCAAATCATCAAGAAGAAATTGTGAGGAAAAAAATCGAATGTGCCCTGTATGTGGTGATTGAGTCAAAGCAGTCAACACAGAACTTTACCTTATTCTTCACTAATCCACATATAATTGCTGCATGAGTAGGAAGAGTATTTCCTGCTAGATATTTTAGGACCCCAATAGATCCTGGGAGGCTGGATAGCTCAAAGTGATCAGATATGTCTATAAAGAGACGAGATCCAATCTCCCGTGTTGCTTCCAAGAGGTTAACAAAACCTGAACTAGTAACTGCCTCAAAAAGAGCAATCCCAGTCACCACCACTTGTGGCTTCAACTTCTTTATCAGTTCTATCATTAAGTCCGACTGCCTAGGAGCTTCAATTACTGTAAGAGTATCCTCTGAGGAGTCACCAGATACTGCATTCTTCTGAAAAGAAAAAGAAAAATAGCATATTTAAGTCAGATTAACATGCAGAGTTTTCAAAATGAAACAGAGAAATTCAATCATTTATTTCCACTAGCACTCCTTTTTTTGGGATAAAATCCACTGGCAATTTCCAATTTGGAGAGAAATTATATATTTAGAACTAGAACTATGGATATGGATACATCACTAAATAAATGCTAAGAGAAGCTATGCAGGCGAAATGAAGAGGGAAGGTCTCCACGATGACAAACAACTTTATCAGGACTCCATATCTGTCAGCAAAAGAGAGGGTCATCATCATCTTTATTCCTTTTTATCCCATTAATATAAATGCAAGGAACAAAAGACACATTTCCATATGTTCAAAGTCTCAATATGGCAGTTGCAACTAATACCTCTATATTCTCCTAAGCAAAAGAATGTTAAAAATATATGGTGATTATTGCTCAGCTGTTAAGATTATATCATTAACACTAAACATCTTGTTCACCTGGATAGAAAATATTTGTTCATAAAATATAATAGGGAGAAATTGAAAGATATGATACAGCCAAGCCAGTCACTATTAATATCAGCAAAAAATTTTATTGCAGAAAAGAAGTTGGCTTATGCCGATTAAATGGTTCTGATAATATAGAACCACTCATAAGCCCATCTCTTCTGTCAAAAGAAGCAGCAGGTCATACAGAAAATTCTCGTAAATTGGTGATATCAGAAGCCCATCGGCTTTGCAAAATATTAGTAAATTTGTAAATTTCCAGGAAAATGGATTTTATATCCAACAGCTCCATATTACAACAGAATCCCTTATTTAAAACCGCCAGAGAAATAATCTCATCCTGATATGATAGGGTAAGGATACCCCAGAATGACAGGGAGTTCATCATCGTTGCGCTAGATCTCACTAATCTCATCCTCCCACGGAAAGTAAGTGATGCACAACTCTCAGTGTCTGGCAGTTTTATTCCACTGCTCAAAATCTTGAAAGCACTTTCTGATGTATCTTGTAGATTTTGGTCAGCAACTAACACATTAGCATCATAAGGCAGCTAAATATATTTTTCCCATGCAAAAGAGTTTTTTTTTTTTTGGAGCTGCTTATGCTCTGATGACATAAACTATCCAAACTGGTTTACTTTCACCCTTAAAAGTTCTAAGAGATTTCAGCAAGTGGCAAAAGAATTCAGTCAGAATCAATTCGATTCCTGCAGAAATTTAAAGTTCAAGGACAAAGATGTGCCAGGCTCCCAGCTATATGAAGCAAGAAGCTGTTCTTAAAGGAATCTGCTACTAGAAAATAGAAGTTATGGTTGCAGTTGCTTATGACACTTTGAACAACATGAAACACCAAAAAGCATGTCATGGAAACTGCATACCTCAACTGCCAAAGATGTTAACCACTGCCTGGGCAGGTGTCGAGTCAGGTGTTCATCAACAATTGCAAGATGAGGTGAGCACAAGCGAAGAGCATTCTCAATTGCTACAGTCCTTGAAGGGCAGATGATCACATTCTATAAAAAGATTTGCAAGGAAAAAGTCAATATCAGGTGCTACAGGACATTTTCCAAACGTGAGCCAGGTAGCTCAAGTGGGGAAAATGTAACATGCCATCAACAAAAACAGTATAAAGGACTGCAGAGAATTTACATTTTATTTTCAATACATCATAGTAGGAAGTATTTGCACTCATGAGACAAAGAAGGTACAAATTTTAATTCCTATGAATATCCACAAACTTTAACCCATTTAATATGTAATAATCTAATAATAAGATTTTCATCGCATGAGAATACAAGCCAACAAGACAGAGTCTTCTAGAACAAAATGAATAGAAGAGTTAGAATACTATAAAAATTAAATCATCTGACAGAAATAGTGTTACTAGAAAGTAAAGATAAAAATCTAACAACTTGACAAACTAATAGATAAAGATGAGAACCAGGGAAAAAAAAAAAAAAAGCTTTAGGAGTGAGTGTACTAGTAAGAACTTGTGCTAGCCACCAAAAAACAAATATTACAAAATTTCTAATAACATGTTCTATGCTGCACAACTTTTTCTTGTCATCTTGAACACTCCTCCCCAAGATGCGAAGTAAACATTTACCATACACGGCTTATAACTAGCTTTCCTAGCATTCCAAATCTATTTCCCAAAAATTAAGTCCAGCTTGAGTAATAGCATTCGACTCCCTAGTTTTTTTCCAAATTTATTTGGTCCTTATTTCCAGCTAATATTTGTAACGATTCCCATGTTTTCACTAAAAGGGTTGGTCAGAGGTAGATAGGTAGGCCCACCTCCTTATTGGACACTCTCAAACCTTTGGTCTCATCTCTTGGTCTTCGTTTCCAATTTGCTGGTTTCCTGTGAATTCTAATGACAGTTGTTTGCTCGCCTTATCCAACACAACTCAACTACTACAAGATAGCACAAAAACATCAAACAGCACATGAATTCTATTCTAATTCTAACTTCTTTAAAAGAAGATCCTTCCAATTTGACGCTTTTATCAGCTGAAAAGCAGCAACCTGCTTGCTGTGTTTCATATAATCATCCGTGCATGATTAATGCCACCATATAAGGCAAGTATATAAGTGAAAGTATGGAATCAGAAAAGACTGATAAAGGGACAGAGTGGCACCTAATAGGATTCTCATTTTTATTTACATCATAATATGCCAATAAAAACATTCATGGCAAAAAATAGTAGCAGCCAGGAAATGAATGATAGCATAGAACAGAGTTGATGAGACATCATCTTATGTGTTATGCATATGTGCGTATTCTGCAGCATGGCTAAATAATGAAAGCAGCATGCTAAATAATGAAGAAGCACAATGTCACTCTTACATTGGCAGTCACTGGAACATGGTGATACTTTTTCATAAATCCTGCAACAAGACTGCGAAATCCTTTGGATCCAGATGGTGGCTCATAAGGAAAATACGAATTCTCTCTTAAGATTCTTGCAAGATAAGCAAGGAAAGGAATTTTCTCATCCGCAACTGAATCATCATCAAAGGACAAATCTAAAGAACTGCTGATCTCTTTGAATCCATTTTTAAGAAATTCAAAAATAACCTTAACCTGTCAGTGTAAGAATGCATCACACTTTAATTTCCTCCTATATAAGGAAAATAGATATGCTTTTTGTAATTCAGAGGCTTTAGTGAAGTACACACCTGACTAGGGTGACGAAGTTGACAGCTGTAAACTGATAGAGCATGAGAAATGCTGCCACCAGCCTTTCCATATGCCCATGCTGTCCTTGCACAAATTGACTGATCACCAGAAAGTCCCATAAAGAACTCAAAACGGTGTGGACTGTTCTTCTCAATCTCAACTAAGGCACTAATATCTGTGTCTGCAGCCTGTACCAACACAATAATAAGGCCTCTTCCACTGAATAAATGATATCAAGTCAAGGAGATATTTGCTTGCCTGAAGAATTTTAGTCTGCCAAAGTTTTGTGACGCGGAAACCCCGACGTTCAAACAATCGTTTGCAAACACCTTGACCTGGGCGACCTCCCATGTTAAATATCATGATTCCATTTGGTTTGATTACTGCTATTCCCTCTTCAACCGCCCTAGCAATTAACCCTAAGCCAAACTGATCCTCAACAAAACCCTAGATGGATTAAAAAAAAAATGAGAATGGTGCTGTACAGTTATAATTAATTCGCCAGCATATTAATCAGAAATATTTCTACAGGTTGATATCTTTCAAACTTGGTGAATATGGAATGAAAATTATTGAATGAGAATACTAAGCAAGTAAAATTTAAGCTGGACACAAAACCATGAGCTTTTGGAAAAATATCAGAAAAGTAGAGCTAATGAAACTTTATACAAGCATGTCAAAGATTAACAGTTACGTATTTGGCATTTAAAGAAGCGAAACATAAAAGCTAAATACATTATAGACAACCAATAAAACAATACCAGGGATTCACCAAATTAAAGTAATAATAATACAGGAAATTTCTTACCTGAAGCGCACAATAATTGCTCAAGGAATAAAGGAATTCCTCACTTGCATTTTCAGTAATAATCTTAGACATTGCATCTGGGTTGGGATTAAGAATCTGCATGAATCCCCACAAGCATAATTAATATCTTGAAAAAAGATTAAGAGATTTTTCCCAAAACACCTCCGAATAAACAAAATTCATCAAGTCCTAACTCCTAAGGTTGTTAGAGAAGCAAATTCCTCCAAGGTTCTGAGATCAACTAAGTCAAGAGAATAAGGCCGAAAGTTGAGACTTGTGCTTCTCTGAAGCCAGAAATATGGCATGCATAATAAAAGCATAGCATTTTTTATGGGAACAGATCATATAATTTGCGGTTTGTTTATTTGGCTTTATAAGTTGTGGATTATGTGACCACAGTGATGTGACAATAAAAAAAAACTTTTAATTTTAAGATAAGGAAAGGGAAAAACTCACTTCATGGGACTTTCACTGGTGTTTGGCGTTTTTCCAATAACCAAAGACTGCTTTTGCTAACAGAAATTGATAAAGAGAACAGAAACTAACTAAACTGTTTTGTTTCTTGATAGAGATTACTTAGAAAGTACTTTTCATAGCAGTAATTTTTTCAATAGTACAAGACTCAATATTATTACTAAAAAATGTGAGGAACTTGCCAAAAGTTTAATGCACAAAACAAACACCAAAATCAATAATTCTCCAAATAATAAACAAAAGAATGGACAAGAAACCACAGGATACAGCTATGAATTACATGGCATAAACAAAAGAAAGAAGGGACCTGCACCTGAATAGCAACTTTCATTAATCAAATTATCAAGTTATTATTTCCAAATCAGCACCATTCAAAGAATCAGAATATAAAATGAAAAACATAAAATCAAACATTTAATTCAACTCAAGCAAAAAGCATCCACTTAATAGTATCCATATGAGAACCTCCAACTCCAGTGTCCTACATAAATATCAAAGGAAGCCTTTAGAAGGAGCTCATGGTCATAGAATCTTGACAGTCCCGTAGTCACATGGCCCCAAAAGAGAGGCCTGGATAAACTTGCACAGGGAATACTATAACAAAATTATATCCTCCATAAAAACCCAGATAATGTCCTATATAAGATGGTTCTTGGAATACCTGAGGTATGCAGCCCACAATTCTCTCAAGTTGAATTTCATGCTCTCTGCAATATGACAGAAGATCAGATTCATGAAACTCTACCCTATCCAGCAAGGTTTTCTTCTCCTCATCATAGACAGGCTGGCCCTTTTCATCTAAAGCGTTTAAATACAAGTTTATCCAAGAAATCTTTACTGCTCTAGGATTGATATCAAGGCCGTAAACCTGAAGACATTAGTTGTATACAAGTTAGCAGCTGCAAATAACAAAATTATTATGACAGCATCTATCAAAATAATGAAACATGAAAGCACTGAAATTAAAATAAAAAAAAGCTAACTTTCATAGGCAGCCACTTCTCGGCTATGGCAATAGATATCCAACCATTTCCACAACCTAACTCAGCAATAGTCCTGTCCTTGAAAATGGAGTCTGGGTGTCTATTAATTCCCTCATAAAAAGTAAAGGACCAGTCTTCTGGGACAAAAATGCTAGGGATCACCATCATTGTCAATTTTTTCCTCCCTTGGTATCCTGCATTTGATAAGAGATATGGAGGAAGTCAGAAGAACACTTCTCAAGAGTTACGACATGTGTAGACTCTATATCCAAAACACATCAATCATAGACTTGCCACATTTTTCACAGAAGAATTAGCTGCAAGAAGCATATCATATAAACAATGTTAAAATTCCAGTAAACTAAGAGTACAAAGGAAAAGTAAGTTTAGAGTAAATATTTTGAGTAAAAGTCTAGAGTAAATACTTTAAAGCATCATAAGATGAGTTAATAATATTAATCATAGAGGAAGAAAAGCCCAGCATTATGCTGGAACAATCGTTGGTACAGTCTCATTCACTGCCAAAGTAAGGCACTGAAATTAATTACTTAGAACATCTGTTATTCCTGAGAGTTGGAAATAATTAACTCCGTTAAAGGAGGCTCTGTTACTCAAGCAAAACGCGAAGAGAAACAGCATTAAACTGTTTAATATCGAAATCATTTTGCATTGACAAAATATATGGGGCAAAAATCTTGTTTTCTATGCAATGGAACATAATGAAACTCCTCTGGAACAAAAGGCGGCACTTGAACGCATTTCAGCCTCAGGTTTCTCCCGCCTATTTAAGGTTTTATTCGTTTGGGTTGAAACAGTAAATTCAGATATAATTCTACTATTGTCTTTGGGGAAAAAAGATTCTACGATTGTCTATTGTAACTATAAACCACAGAGCCAATCCACAAAAATCCAACGCTAAGTGACAGAGCTAAGAAGAAATCGGTGGACTATAAACGCTATCCATGATGTCATGTATTCGAACAAGGATAATTTACTTGTCACTCTGTTGGTAAAAATATGAAATAAAAAAGAAGAAAAAATCCATCCGATCCCCAGGTTTATCTTCTTTCGTTGTTAGTGTACAAAACCAATCGGCCCGGTCCTTCATATGATCCCTGTCAGTTACAGCGCTTCATTTTGTGTTTCCCCCCGGGAGGTGGGGGGGATGGATATACTGCAGAAAACAACACGTAATGGAATTGCATGCGACCCTGATTTCATGCTAAGAAAGTACCAGATATTAACTGATGCCAGATGTTATCTTCCAAAAAAAGGAAAAGTGAAAAAGAAGCGCACTACATTGAGCTTTCCCTATAGCTTTCTGTAAACTAGACATTATTTACTTGGCGCAAAGTTTTCATATCACCGCCCACAGATTTCCATTCCCAGTCATACTCGATTTCCCACCAACCAAACAGGTCAACTTAAAGGGATAAAACCATATGCAAAATGAACAAGGAGACTCAGTAAGCAGCAATGACAATACCCTCGTATTGGTCCAAGAAAATGTCTTCGATCCGGAAATGGTAGGTCTTAAAGCAGTGATCGCAGGCTTCCTTGGTGGGAAAACGCTTCTGCAGGTCCGAAAGGAAGATCCGCGCTTGGGAACGGGTAGTCGGATCTTCCAGGCGAGACAGCACCGACCGGAATGCACCGTATGCGGCATCGCCGGACTGCTCGCACTGCTTCAGGAACTCCTCCACCGAGCCGTAGACGACGCCATTCGCTGCCATTGCCGTTGACGGTCACTGCAGAGAGAGAAATTGGGAGCACTTTAAACAGACTTGGTCAGAGAAGACGCTAGTCAGTCATGGAGTCATTCCTTCATTGGTCATATATACGCTTCTCGGGGGAGAAGACGATTCTTTTTTCTTTTTCTTTTTTTTTTTTGACCAGCAGAGAAGAGGACTCTATTTGCTTCTATTTTCTATACATTTTTTATAAATTCTTGGGTTAAGGTGCATCTAGCACCCGCCAAGTATTTTGTCAGGTGTACCCAGTAGTCTAAAGTAATTTATGGTGCAATTTTACCCTCAAAGTAATTAAAATGGTGCACTGCTATCCCATGCTAACAGGTCTGTTACTTTGACCGTTAAATTGATGAGTCAGCACAAGTTTGACTAAAATAATCTGACCTGGCATGTCTAATAAGTAGGTGATGTGGAATTTTTTCGGGGTTAAGGTGCATCCAGCATCCCTAAGTATTTTTCCAGGTGCACCCAGTGGCCTAAAGTAATTTATGGTGCAATTTTGCCCTCAAAGTAATTAAAATGGTGCACCGGTATCCTATGCTAACAGATCTGTTACTTTGACTGTAAAATTAATGAGTCAGCACAAGTTTGACCAAAATAATCTGACCTTGGCATGTCTAATAAGCAGGTGATATGGAATTTTTTTCGTTTGCCACTGCTTTGTTTTCTTTGTTAAGTAAATGCTCTCTTCAGCTCTTGGAATTTTTTTCAAAGTAAGAAATTTTTTCAGAGATACTCCTCTGGTCCTATTTATAGGGTAGAGAGAGAAGATATTTTTTGGTCCTATTTATAAGGCACTGAGAGAAATTTTTTATATGGATGTACAAATTTACCCCTCATTTATTATTGTATTGACTTTGTTTATATGAGGTATAATGTATATTAAATAAGGATAAAGTTGAAAAGTTATTAAAATTTAAATGAGAGTTAATGAAATTTAAGGTTTTCCTTGGTCTATGTAAAACATGCTGGAAGTCCCTTATAAATAGGACCAGATGAGTAATATTCAGACAAAACAATGGAATTAATAAAAAAAGCCATGTCACCTGCTTATTAGACATGCCAGGTTAGATTATTTTGGTCAAACTTGTGCTGACTCATCAATTTCACAGTCAAAGTAACAGATCTTTTAGCATAGGATACCGGTGCACCATTTTAATTACTTTGAGGGCAAAATTGCACCATAAATTACTTTAGGCCATTGGGTGTACCTGGAAAAATACTTGGGGGTGCTGGATGCACCTTAACCCCGAAAAAATTCCACATCACCTGCTTATTAAACATGCTAGGTCAGATTATTTTGGTCAAACTTATGGTGACTCATCAATTTAACGATCAAAGTAACAGATCTGTTAGCATGGGATACCGGTGCACCATTTTAATTACTTTGAGGGCAAAATTGCACCATAAATTACTTTAGGCCACTGGATGCACCTAGCAAAATACTTGGGGGTGTTGGGTGCACCTTAACCCTAAATTCTTTTCAAACATCCACATTGGCACGCAACTCGAAAAAAGGGGAGTTTGGGAAAAAAATTCAAAATGATGGTGTTGTTATAAGTTTTAAAAAAAAAAACAGTTCGTCATATTTAAGTATTTATCTTTTACTAAATCTGTTTTATTGGATTATACTCTTTAATCATATTTATAAGATAGAAAAAAAGTTTTTTTAATCTTATTTATAAGTCATCTCGTTAAATTTTAGGAGAATTACAGTAAGATTTCTAAAAAAAATAATTACTAATAAGTTTTAATAACAAATGAGCAGTTGTCATTTATTACTTTGAAAGTTGTCGTTGCAAGCTGATATGTTGTCACTAGAACCTTTTAATAATTATGTTCTTTACTTAGAACTTTATTGCAATTCTCTCCTAAATTTTTAACATAAATGTACTATTTTATCATTCATTTGTTATAGTATAAATATTTTTTTTTAAAAAAGTATGCATATTAAATAGGGGTAATGTTGAAAAGATTTTATATTTTAAGCAAGGAACAAAAAAAAAAAGGACTGGACACTAAACATGTTGAAACGGTGGTTCAAGGATTAGTGGGTCGAATTGGGATCAACTTAGAATCAAACCGATCATATTAAAATAATATAATTTGATTGAAAATAACAAAATATAATAATACTAATAATTACTAATAACAAAATATAAAGAAATACAATAATAGTTTGATTGCAATAATAATAAAGTACAACAATATTGAGAATTTTGATCTTTATAATTTCTTGATAATTAAAATTAATAGTCATTGATACAAATATCATCATTAAAATTCATTTAAATCTCTAATGACTGAGATATTAAGAGCTAAATGAGAAAAAAATAAGATAAATATTAATATAATTATTTAAACTGGTTCATTACCGGTCCACACCGATTTTCACCAATTCAATTCAATTTGAATTGGTCACCGGTTTAATCTATGAACCAGACCACTAACTGGTTCATCGGTTTTTTTATTGAATCGGCTGGTCCGATCCAGTTTTTTTTTACTCTAATTTTAAGAGAGTTAATGCAGTTCAAAAAAAATTTTACCTTGTGGAAAACATGCTAAAAGTGTCATATAAATAGGACTAAAAGATCGTATATGAATGTTTTGCTTATTGATGGATCAAAGTCTTTTTATTTTAATGTTGCTCTTTTAAATATTTTATATGAATATTTTGAAATATTTTAATATCTGCAAAATATAAAATAAAAATTATCTCCTAACTTTCATTTTTTTAAAAAAATAATTTTTGTACATAAAATATCAATTGAAAATTTTAAATATCATCTGTTAAAATTGTATGTAAATACTAGTAGTAGAGATCTCATTAATGTGATAGGCACCGAAATTTTTGGTATAACTCAGAATATTTTTAAGTCATTTTGAGTTTGAGATTAATCTCTGTCAGGTCGAGAATATTAAAATTGAAGTCTTCTAAAGAAGTGTATTTTCTAGAATTCGAACTCGGATAAACACCGAAATTAACTGTGCAATATATCTTTGTTTTCCCATCACAAGCAATCAAACAATTTGCAAGAGAAATATTTTTTTTATTTTATAAGCAACCAAATAGAAGAAAATTATTAGTTTTCATCTTAATGAAATTCATTTCCATGCAAATGAATCATATTGCACCATATTTGTATTTGAGCGATAAATACCTTTTCCAAAAATATAAAGAGGAGTCGTAGAGTATCAATATTATCATGAATAGCGCAGAAAAGATACAACTTCTCTCATAAAATTGTCCCCAAATCTCATTGGCTTATCTCTGTAACAAACATTTTATTGGCACGCACCAAAGTGATATCATTTTCTAATTGATCCTTACGTTGTAAAGCTTAACGAAGATCATGACTACGACTAACCATTAGCAATAGAATATGATTCAATTGGGTGATATGGGTGTTGATGTAGACGGCACTGTTATTTATATATTTTTCCTAATTTATGTATAGAATTAAAAAGTACTTTTTTTATACAAAATCTATTCATATCCCATCTATCTAGATGGAAACATAGGAGAGAAAATGAGAAGTAATTGATTGTAATTTTTCCCAAAATTCAATAGGACTGAAGCAGCGAATTGATGAAATGGGGTAGTTGGCTGTAATTTTTGCCAAATTAAAAATTAGGATGTTGAATTTTTTTTTATTTATTTAAAAGAAACAGATGTTAGGCTGAAACTTGTTCACAACTTGAACAAGTTCTAAGAAGTGTACCATATGGATAAATACTTTTTACCACGTAGCATTAGGGTAATTTGTTCCACAATTGATAGCATTTTGATGAAAATGTCAATTGTATCCTAGCTTCAAAACTTCAAGCTTGTGCTTGCCTTTGAATGATTTTTATATATATACTATACTACTCTATTATTATATATTAGTCACTCTATTATTATATATTAGTCACTGCAAATCAATAAATACATTAAATTAATACTTTTTTCACCTTTTGTCCTTTTAAAAAGGGAGAGAATTGGTCAAATGGAGTATTTGGTTGTAATTTTTGTCAAAAGTTTAAAAAAAAAAAAAGTAGGATCTTAAACTTCTTCAAAGAGTGAAAGAGTTTCGCTTTTTTATTTTTTGTTTAAAAAGATAGATGTTTTCACAGCTTGAATGAGTTTCAAAAAAATACAGCATATGAGTAAATATTTTTTATCATGTAATATTTGAATAATTTATTTTACTATTCATAGCACTTCTAAAAAAACGTCTCTAAACTAGGATGAATGGCCCATATCCTTCATTTTGCATATGGCTTTGCTAAAGAAGCACTGTCATCATAATGATATGAAATTGACCATATTTTTTGGGCTATAACAACCATCCATTTAAGATCTAATATTTATTGTAACTACAAATCTTATATTTAGGATTCAAGACAGTATAAAGTTGCAGGCGTGAATTCCCAATAAAATTCTGGTAAAAAAAAAAATTCCCAATAAAAAATTCCTGTGTTATGAAAATTTTTAAAAATTGGCATTAATTCTTGACGCATACCATTCTGGGAGGTTTAAGTATTCAAAAGACATAATAATTTATTAAAGCATTTTTAATGGCAGAACATTGGGAAGACTTGCCCCTCTTTATATCATCACTTCTAGTGGCCAATGCTGCGTGGCATTTGCTATTGACCACAAATTAGTGGCAAACCCTGGGTTGTTGCTTCATAGTGGAATATTGACTTATTTTCTTATATATGACCCACCCCACAATACCAGATACTGGTCCTTAATTTAGTAAGATCTAGTAAGGGATTAAATCTGCTTGTAAATATAATATATCGATTTATTTTATCTCTTTTATTTATTTAAACTAATTCTGTTGACTGTATATATTAAGAGAGTTGGCATTAAATGGTAGTTTTAATTCAAGTAGTTTGAAAAAGTATTTTAAAAAAACCAATACATATTTTTAATAAATAATTAGTTTAACCAATTTCAATCCAAATAATTTGAGAGGATATCTTAAAAAACCAACACATAGTTTTAATAAGTAACTAATTTAATTAATTTTTTTAATGTGTTAAATTAGTTAAGTAAGTCTGA